CCCCAAAACCCCAAAACCCCATTAAGGATTTAATTGTTATTTTTAAGTAAAATGAAATCTTTAAAAAATTAGTGATTATAATATTTTGATAGAGTGTAATATTATATAGAAACAATATATTTAATTAACCTTTTAATAGCTAATAAAATGAAAAGTAGCAAGAATTTAAAGCAAAAATTCGAATAACTAATTAGATCTTTTGATTAATTTGGCCGCCCAATAGCATTTACTTACAAAAATTGCTCTTCATTTAAAACAACTTTCGGTGGTATCGTTTCCTTGTGCGTTGGATTACTTATTCTTACCTTTTTAATATAAGAGATTTTAAAAGTAAATGATAGGAAAACAACTATTACGAATTCTTCATTTTTAAAAAATTAAGTAATAGATTAAAGAGAGATGATCATTAGCTAACAAGAATTCGATATAGGATTTTCAGTTTAATTTCTATATTTGCCTGATGGTAATGTTAAGAGCATTGATCAATACGTAGAATTAAGCTTTTAGAAAATATTAATTAGTAATAATAAAGGAGAATACACCGAAGAATATATTGACTTACCTTTTTCTAAATGTCAGGCTGGAAGATTCAATGCAGAGAAAACTTAAACTGAAGCATTTGGTATAACTAACAGATATAGTTGCCCTATAAATTTTAAAACTGCATTTTAGGGATCATATACCACTTAAAATGCTTAAATGATTCAATTATAAGTTAGAAAATGCAATCAAACGAATCTTACTATTAAAAATAAAACTTTGACTTGTGCTTCAGATGAAGAAATAGCAAAAATCTTAAACTATCTGACTCTAAATGTCCTAATGACCAATTAGTTTATTGATGTCAATGAGAAATATGGAAATCCAATAAAGACAGTCTTGAAACAATTTTATGCAACATCATAATGAAATCTTTCCCTTTATTATCAATACAAATTAGGATAAAACTTTCTTATATAAAGCACTTCTTCAATATCTAACTTGGTAGGCCAATAAAATTTGACATACTATACAATAACTGATGATTCAATGTAAATAGGAGATTCTGATATTTTAGGATCTTTTATAACATTCCAATTACTACTTGATGACTTAGTAACTACAACTAACATAGAGCTATATACCCTCTCAGATGCGTTTTCAAATGTTGGAGGTATTATTGGGATTATTACAATCATAGTTTAAGTATTGATTTCTTAAATTCAGGAATACTTATACTATTAATCACTTATTAAACAGTAATTTCAAATCACATCTGATTTAATTGTCAAATAGCACAGAAATGTAAGAAAAGGAAAAGCAAACTTGAAAAATCTAAAGCAACCCTCCATTACAGGATTAAAAGGTCATTAAAAAGTAACTTAACTTGAAAGCTTAATTAGTGATTTGAAGAATTGAGTTCCTTTTGATTACTCCATTCTCTTATTTTACAGTAGCAGAATACAATAATGTCTGTGTAAAAGAAAAAATTAAAAAGCATTCACTTAGAGAATTCTGTTCTAGTAAGCAAAATAAAAACTGGATGAAAAGTTTGAGTTGAATAAATTTTTAAAGAATCATCAAATGCTAAAATTTTTAAAATAGGTATCTCTTTGCAAATACTAAAGATAACTCATAACTTATTTCAAACAGAATTTAATCAGAATTAAAGAATCAGCATAGTAAGATATAATTTAAAGTTAAAGTAATATCTTTGCAAAGATTAATTTCCAAAAAAGACTTGATAATGAATAAAATTAGAAAACTTGGAATTAACTTACAAAGGAATAATAAATTTAAACCAAACTATACTTATTATAGGTTATCTTTAATACGAGTAAAAATGCTATTGACAAAAGAATTCTAAAAAATATTGATTAAAATGATTAGATTAAATCTAATGATGTACCAGTTAGCAGATTAGCTTAAAAAGCTGTTCTATTATAACTTAATGAAAAATTAAAATTAAAAAAGGTAAATGACCTTAACTGGAGCGACATTGATCTAAAAGAAGAAATTGCAATGTATAATTCAAGATAAGAAAATTTCTAGTAAATCAATTAAATCAATCTTACTAACTAGGATTTGATTGAGGAAAGCATTTTAGTAGATGAATTTATTGAAAAAGAATTAATCATTTGATATGAATTATATTAAAAATTTCAAAATTCTTTCATTATGGCAATACATCTTTGATGGGGTTTTGGGGTTTTGGGGTTTTGGGG